ACGTGCCATCTGCGAACATATCCCTTACAATTCAAGGAGAACCACTGGAGGTTGTGGAAAATTTTACATACCTCGGTAGTTGTATTAGCTCTGACGGAAGTGTGTCTGATGAAGTCAGTGCAAGAATCTCAAAGGCTCGAATCACGTTTGCTAATTTGCGTCACTTGTGGCGTCAAAAAGGCATCTCACTGGATCTTTAGGGTCATGTGTACCAGGCTACAGTAAGGGCTGTGTTGTATGCGTTGTTGTTGTTATATGTGTTGTTGGGTGCGAGACATGGCCTCTTCGGGTAGATGATGTGAGGCGTCTTCAGGTTTTCGACCACCGATGCCTCAAGCGTGGCTGGTTTCGGATGGCGTCAGCGTATCAGTAACGAGGCGATTAGAAAACGGGTATTTGGTTGTGCTGCAGGCACCTCAATCCGGGAAAACATCCGAGGTCATCGACTGGGATGGCTCGGTCATGTGCTACGCATGCCGAAACACCGTCTACCGAGACGAGTGTCGTTCTCTATGCCTCCTTCAGGATGGCGCAAACCGCGAGGTGGACGGCACATGACTTGGCAGAAATGCATGAAAGAGATCACGAAGAGTTTGGGTGTTGTTGGAGTTGTACGCCTCCCAGGATTGGGTCCCCGTGACCCCGTCTGTGTTTGGCTGGAGACGTTGCAAGAAATAGCGGCTAATCGATGTCAGTGGCGTTCTTGCTGTCAGTTTCTTTCCAGATTGTCTGATTGAGCGGTTGGAGGTGTAGGCACCTCAGTATGCTTGACATAGGCCAGCACTCTTTTTCTGTTCAGTGCCAACACTGATGTTGCTGTCTTTGATGATGATGATGATGTGGTGGATGGGGTTGCCGTTAATGACCGTAAAGAGTCTCTAATGAACGGAACGAAATTCTAATAAAAGTCGGATATAATGTTACAAGAAGAACAATTCGGAGGAATCTTGACTCAGCTGACAAGACGATATTTCGCAACTCATTCCCTTGAACCATCACACCAAGAAGGGAAACTTCAACTTTCTTGGTATTCCAAACCTCCGATGTTCGCAATATTAATCCATAGACGTGAATGGATAGGTCCGGTGTTTTCAGCTAAAGTTTTTCTTCACGTTGTTTATTAGTACTCCCAGTGCTATTCAACCGGCAGCAAAAGCCACCAAGTCCCGTTGGGCTAAAAAACAGGGGCTTGTATTTCATTAAAACAAACTTTGTGCAATAACGTGACCGATATTGACAGAAAGAGAAGAGATTATTGGGCAGGAAAAGTAGCAGTTTACAACTACTACATTGAACGAATCTGCGAGGTGGCTATGGCATCGAAGTGGCATATCCATGAATCTCAAGGGGCATGTGTATCAGGTTACGGACCATTTAGTTGTGCGGCCGTGAAACGTAGCCTCTGCGAGCAGCGGAGCTGGCATATAGTCAGGTCTTCACAGCCGTTTTTTCGGAACAGTCGTTCCTGCAGGCTCGTGACGGCGAATCCGCATCCATACACTTGGGAAGAGAGTGTCCGGCTGTGCAATGGGAATTTCAGCCGGAGAGTGTACAGAACCGGGTACTACGATGGTTAGGTATGTATTGCGCGTGCCGTACCACTGTCTGCCAAAAAGAGTGCTGTTTCTCGCCCATTGAGTGATGGTAGTGACTAACCCTTGACCTCCAGAGGGTTATAAAAGTGACCACAAAAAATCTGGGTGCTGTCAGTGCTACCCGTCACGAAGAGACTGGACCTTACCGTGGTGTGACGGTTTGCGCACCTCAGCGATCCACTGAGCTATACTGGAGAGTGTCGTGAGACACTCACAGAGTCTCTCATACCAGGTTGGTCAATGGTTAGAGGTCTGACGAACACAGTCTCCTGGCCCTCCAGGTTGGGGGTTGGAACATGTGGCGACTTGTTCCGTAGAAATGGCAATGCATTTGCATTTCCCGCCAAACACCGCTGTCTTGCGGTTAGGCTTTTGAGCCAAAGGCTTTGGTTGAGGACCCTAATCGTCCTCCTGTCTAGGTGTGGGTGCCCTGGCAGTATCCCAGCCCACGTACAACCATGAATTGCACATATACAAATGAACTCATGCCACATCGGCCGTCGTGTGGTGCCATCAGCCGGGTCGCCTTACTTGCTGCATACAGCAGGGCGGGTAAGCGAAAACAGGCTACTGCTGACGCCTCCCTTCTTTCTCCTCCACATACTTTTTCTTCCCCCTCTCCCCACCCCATTAATAACTCTCTCCTTGTAGGCTCAGCACTTAGGACTGATAACTCCGTTCGTCATGCATCGGTTTGCGTGCAGCATCTGCTCGTTTAATGGTGCCGACATTTGCAGAAATCTCCAAATCAGTCCTCAGGCCTCGACACCTACTCTTTCTGGCCGCGTTCAATGTTCGCACTCTGAAGCAAGCAGGACAACAAGCTGCTCTTGCACTCACACTGGACTCGCTTGGCATTGATGTGTGCTGTCTCAGAAAAAAGAGTTCAAGATCATCATCATCATCGACAACAAGACATTAGTATTCAACACCGAGGCTTCACTGCCGTATTCAAGATACAAGCACAGTGGTTGGGCCAACCGCCCCATCAGTCTCCAATCGCTTACGGCTGCACACCTCTAGTGATCCAGAGGCTGTTGCGGCGGGAGATGCAGGGCGGAAGTATCCTTGTTTGACTGGATACCTGTTGATAGTCGCCTCTGTGCGGTTCGTCTGGCAACGTCTGTGAAGGAGTCTCACAAGCGGCAAGTTGATAGATGTCTGTTTATCGTGTCTGCCTATGCCCCAACTGACTGTAGCTCCGGCGCCGTCAAAGACAAGTTTTACGACGCCCTGA